TCGTGCCGCGCGACCATACGACGATTTCTCGCGCGCGTTTTACGCTTACATGTCCGAATTGGATGAACCTGTCGCTAGAAAAGACATCACAAACGGGAACGGGTCCCTTCCGGAAATTCACCCTCTCTCTTCGAGCAATTCGACACGATGGAATGTTGCAAAAAGTACACACATATAAATTTGTGATATTGCATCGCGGACTGACGAATTGCCGAAAGGAACGGTTGCGAACGTCAAATGTCACTTTTGTCGATAGTGCACGAAGATATTTGTTCATATTTGTGAATATCGTATTGAGAAAGAAAACAATTATTTATATATAAACCGACCGCACGATAACGGCGGCGACCCGCAACTTGTAAATGATCGCTCGCTCGCCGCCTGGCACTTTACGATCGCTTACAAGTCTATCAATTATCTTTCCTCCGTACCATCCGTTAATTTTTGATATATTATTTGTGCCACTTCACTTTACTACGCGACATATTCATCTTATGTTAAATTAACACAATGTTAATTTAACATAAAATTAACATACAAATTAACATAACGATGTTAATTTAACATAAAATTTAACATGAAATTAGCATTGTGTTAATTTAACATAAAATTATATTAAATTAACGCAAAAATTGGAATGAACCGTTTGGGACGTGTGAGAAGTGTGAAATTTAACACGAAAATTTTCACTGTGTAGAATCAAAATTTCTACTCGGGTTACAGTTACGTTATTATCGCAATTTTGCAATGGCTTCAGCTACGTTTATTTCATATGTTTTCCCCAACGTAACTGCCAATAATTAACGAAGAAGAAGCCATGCGTCGTGACCGATACGGTGGACGATGTAGCGACCGGTAACGCAATCTACCATATCGATTAGGAAATATAACCCAATTCGAGCTAACCGATTTACTCGCACAAATGGATTAACCCAGCTTGAAGAGGGACCGCGCGGCGTGAACACGCCGAATTGCCCGTGCGCTCTCCGCTCTTCCCCGGTGCATCTTCCCAGCTGCCGCTTCTCTCTCCTTTTTCCTCATTCATCTTGTTTCCAAGCCACTCCCCTCGCTTCATTTGTCTGTTACGCGCAATCAAGAATCCGGTTGTCCCAGTCGAAGCACAGTACATCTGTCTGAAGGATCTTAGAGCGGAGAGAGTCGGGGAGTTAGATTTATTTATTTTCTAGGAAAAACCTCCTCTCTCTCTCTCTCTCTCTCTTTCAGAGCTCTTCGACTCGAGGCACCAGGAGCTAATCGTGACGTATCGTCCATTAATCCTATAGGTTAATTATTGCACAGCAGACAGAACGAATAGCGAGAGCGACCTAATTCGACTCATTAATCGGCAACACTATGGTGGATAAGCGCTTAGAGGAAAATTTAAATTTAAATAAAAAATATCTTTATTATTTTGTCACCGACGCTGTCATTCCACGGCTTTTGTTCACAAATTATTATAAAACTCGTCGATACTTTTAGTAAATTAATTTTTTGCTGTGGATTCTCTCTGTAAGTTAACGGGACCCCGAGAGAAAAGTCTTATTTATTGCGCGAGGTTTTTATTCTCGCGCTTCTACTTTTTTCTTTTATTTCTTCCGACATCTCTTCCCCTCCCTCCCTCTCTTCCTCTCCTTTTCTCTCTCTCTCTCCCTTCCCCCTCTCTCTTCTGTGCGTCACCTCCCGTAAGAACACCGAGACTTCTGCTAGTCATATTTTTTCACGTCGTATTTGATTGCTTCCCGCCCCGGAAAATATGAGCGAACGTTTATAGGATCACGAACCACCGAGGACTGAGTGCCATTATTTATGATATTTGTCGCGTTGAGTTTGTTAGGCAACATATAAATTGCGCGAGAAACACGTAACACATCTCAACGATTCCTTCAAGAGCCGAGAGAAGAATTTCGAAATTCTACGAGCCTCAGCTCGCGAGGATTTTGAAAACGCTGCTGCGGTATTCAAATTCTCCAAAGTAACAATATTCGAAAAAAAAGCGATACAAAAGAATACAAATTTTGTACAAATTTTATTCCGTTGCAATGCAGTTGGCTATTTTGAGATATCCCAAAAAATCGCTAATCGTTCGGCATTTAAAACTCTTCTCGAGATCCATCATTTTTTGCGTGATTCTGTGTTTTCTTCTTTTTAGAAATTTATATCAAATATTGAGTGAAAAAAGATCTCATAAGTATTCTATTTGATCAACGAGGTTTCGCACTCGGGCTTCATGTCGCGTGAATTTTTTATCGCGTAAAATCCAACACCGGTACCGCAGTGTTCATTGTTAAGTTCTCTTGTTTCCCCTTTCCGGATGTTTTAAACCTCCTTCCCTTTCGTTATTCCCTCATTCCCACCAGACCGTACTGTCAATCGAGTTATTCTTACGGGATTTTCGTCGCGATGAAGCGAGCTATACATTGTGACGTGCACATAATACTATTCATGAGTCCGCATGATTATCGGAAAACTATATTTATCCTGGATATCATATTAAATCCCTGTTTCGACGTTGGCCTTTCATCCGGTCAACCCCGACCGTGCTTATCCTCGTCCTCCACTCCCGTCTTCTTTTCTCTCACTCTCGATAGAGGAACGAAGATAAATATCGTCGATGATGAAAATAAAACCTTTGACACGGGTTCGACGGGTAGGGCCTTAACCTTGTCACGATCGTCATTTTCTGAGAGATCGCGGATTTCGCGTATCAACTGTATACGTGTGTGCACGCACACACACACGTGCGCGCGCGCGCGCACGAACCGCTACATCGAACTAAATGGCAGCGTCTGCATCTTTTATAAGTTCGACGTTACTCGCATCGTCGGATACGCACTTGGCCCAATGCTCGTCTATATCGGCGATCGCGTGTGTCTCTGTTGGCGCAAGTGTATGCGCTGAACGGATATCGGTCGTCGATTTATCGCGACCGTTACCGTATCGTCCCCGAAACGACGTCGGATCAAGCTCGATGGTGCCCGAATGTGCGATCAATCCTCCCATTTATTATGCGACACTGATACGCTGATGAGTATCGGCATGAATTTAACCAATAATCGAAGCGGCAAGCGAAGATACATAGGGGATGCACTAATCGACGTCGATCCCGGATTCGCGATCGATTGCTCGCTATCATAAATAATTTGTCATCGTAGCGAACCATTGGATCCACAGTTAGCGACGCATCGTGCACTGAGAAGACTGAAATCATTTTCTTCAGACGCGTCGTACATTTAGACATCGCTCACACAGTTTGTTTTGAAACCAGCGTGTGATATTTCTTCTTTAATAGTTTATTATTACAATGTTATTACAATCGAGTCTATTGTTACGCTATTCACAGTCCGATCGCATATTTACACGCAAAAAAAGTTTAGTCGAGTTTTCCTGATAACGAACAAAGCAAACGTGTTTTAATTGAAGGAAACAGAACGTTTGATGGCAAAAACCGAATCTGATTCGTTGGAATCAGAAATTTCATTCCCTTCAACCGAAACGCGTTTGATTTATTTATTGTCACATTGAATAAATTTAACTAAGCTTTTTTTCGCTCACAATCGTTTCAAATCGATGAGATGCTGTGAGTAAAGACCGTTGCATAACATTTTAATATGAACTTAAGGGGGTTGTAAAGTGAAATAAAATAATAACGAAACTACCCATGTAGGGATCGTATATGATTGTATGTATACATTCTGCCAGTATAGGATACTAGCGCGGCATTGGGCCGGTACCAAAAAGCGGATGTCATGTTTCGGTATTGGCTCAGTATTATCTAGACAGTATCAAATATTTATAAAGTATTTATCTCGATTTCGTTTTAAATTAATATTTATTATCTAGATAATGAAGCAAACATGTAGAAACGTGATTTTGCTTAATAAACACTAAATTTATGAACGGCTCCTTTGTGCGTTACTAAAAAATATGACACCGAACTTAGCAAACTTTTAAAACAATCCAATATAAAATCAGGATTATGAATACCGCCCGAAATTTATATTAATATTTTCCGACACGATATATCGTGTGTTCACACCGCATATCGTGATCGATACGCGTAAAAGTATGTCATGCGACAAGAGTATGCGCGACCTACACGATCGTGTGATGCCGTGCGAAATCCCAAGGAGAATGGCGTTTGTTTAACGTTCGTACATCGATTTTTCGCTCGAGATACGGGCGTTCACAAAGCGCCGGAGCTTTTTATACGCGGCATGCGGTCCCTCGCTGCCGACAAACGGCGTACGCGTGGTACATTGTAGTGCGTTCGTGTCGCCTTCACATCTCTCGCTTCACACTTCTTGCGCTGGGCGCAGCGCGCTGAAAAAAGCGTATGAAAAGGAATGCTGCGCTATAGTGTGAAAAAAGTGCGAAGAAAGAAAGTTTGTTATTTTATTTACCTATCGATTTATTTATTTTAATTATTCCTTTTAACCCCATGTTTTCTCACGTTTATACTTTTAAATATTTCACACATACCATGTTGGATTCCTAACCGATCATGATGCGAATCCGTTGAAATTATGATAATTCGGAACGCTATAACTTCATTGGAAAGGTGTCTGAGTGACTATGTCGACAAGTCCGAAGTTATCTGGACGCGCGCACCTTTGGGCAGGCAACCCGTCGTAATGAGTCGTATGTTGATGCAACACCCTGTACATGTATATATATATATATATATATAATTTAAGTCAATAAAAATTTCAATAAGAAAACAAGTTTGAAGAACCGGCACCTTTATTAAATATTTGAATGGATCAGAACCGGAATCGGACCGATATTTTCATTCGGCCCGGGTCCCTGATTTTTATATCTTCGAATATATGAACCAGTTGATTTGAATGTTCGAATATAATTATATTCCCGAATGCAATATGAGAATATATCGCGCTTTGCAAGTGCATATAAGCGTATGCGGAGCGTAATCGCGCTGTTCGGCGACGCAACCCCGCATCTCGAGGTAGTTCCCTAACATCGATTACTTCTGATTGTTTCAGGCTTCCGCCACCGCAACAGCAAGTGACGGTGGGTTCTCTAGGCGGCGGTTTAGGCGGCGCCGGGAATGGCGGTACCGCGACGGTAGGCGCGCAGGGCCAGGGCATGGTGATGCCGGGTTTTCCACTTCGCGCTGCCGCGGTGCCGCACTACTCTCCGTACTCGCCGTCGCGTTTTCACATCGACAAACGCTGCCAGCACAGATGCTCCTGGAAATGCTTCTCGATCACGCTCATCCTCCTGGCGGTCGCTTTAACGGCGATGCTGGCATACTTCGCTGGTAAGGAAACTACAGCCGTCGCATTAGAATTCCCGCATTAGAAGGAACCGAACAGAAGCAAAATGAATAGAAACATATATATTATATGCATCTGTTCAGTTAGTTAGTTTTATTTATTAATGAATTAAGCTTACTGGAAATATCATACGTGAAAAAACGCATCAACAATAGTGTCTAATGAGTGACGCGGAAAATGACTGAGAACAAATATACGCAGTGGAAATAAAAATTTAATCAGATATACAGTATCTTTAGAAAAGATCCACAGGTCTTCCAATTTTTCCCCCCCTCCATAGGCCCCATAACATGATAACTACGCTCCTGAGACTCGAGCGGTTCATAGGCTGCGCGCGAGGCGACGAAGCAGAGGGAACAACGCGAAGCGGAGCCTCCCGAAAATCGGCTGGAAAGTGCAACACTTGACGAGTTCTGGTTTACTACAAAGAGAAGCCAGGTTTGGTTGGATCGATCTGAAAGTGAATAACCAAACGCGTTTTCGCCAAAGGAAACAGAATGTCTGGTTGTAAGAGCCGAATTTGGTATCCAACCAAACTGGTTTCTCGGTGTCCACAAGCTCGTCGGTGGTGACTTTTAATCGTACCGCGCTCCTACCTTTTCTTACCTCTCTCAAACGCGTCTGAACTATTTTGCTTCCCACTGCACGTTGCAGGAGCAGACCGCTCGAAGATATGCTTTCGTCAGATTCGCAATTGCGGTAGCCGCTGGTTTTAACCAGCCACCACTATCCCATGGTGGTGATGGTACTGGTAGCTATTTAGCGCGACGGCTACATAAATAATATTCGCTCGGGCGTAAATTCGCGGCGATTGTTTTTATTAGTCCCCGAGCGCACGTCCCGAGTCGTAACACACCGGCCGGATAGTTCAACGCAATTCTATTGCCAGCTGACCCGAAATTCACGGTACAATAATTCATTATTAACTTGCAAATCTGGTTACGACTAGCCCAACCTACCTAATACACTAAAATCCATCGGAACGTCGGCATTACTGCACGATGCTAATCCCTATATGCGCACAGAGGGGGATTATATTTACGACTGACATCCCATACTACGTCCGCGCGAAAGCATGACGAATTTCGCGTATCTAATCGTGAAAATCGCAACTAAAATGTGACCTGTTATTATTCACTGACACTATGTTGTATTTTCCCTTTATATGCTGCGAAAAGAGCGAGACAAATTAACTGTATCTATGGAAGTAGCTCCCGTTGTTTCATGTAGGCGTGCAATTTGAACGACTCATCGAAAATTCAGCGAACGAAAACGGTAAAGCGAACGAAGCATAAAATTAACAAAACGGGGGCACAAAGTAGTCAATTAAATTCGAAGCGGTGTATAAGCTATCTAAAGTATTATATACACGGTAACCGTTAGTTTCGCTCGTAAAAACATACCGTGTACTTCAGGTACATTGGCATTTTTCTTACAACGGCTAACCGAGCTTGCAACACTGCTGCATCAGCATTGTTTTACGGTTGACGTTTAAACGCTGAATTTTTTGCGGCAAACGCAGTTTTAGAATGCAAAAATCGTTAAGCCCCTTTTATTTCACACTATCAGGCGTCGAAAGTTTCGTTACGACGAGACATCGTTACTCTCTAAAGTGGAATATGTGTATTATCATTCTTTAGCACGTGAATATGCTGAAAAATTGGTCGAAAGCATGCCAAGGTGTCAAGCTATAATTGACAATGGGGGCGACTGAACCCATTATTAAGTAATTATGCAATATCTTTTTGTATCTATTTTAATATACTAAAGTCCTTCTTTCAGGTTGTATATTCTCGATATACTATCGTATACTTTCTTCTGTGGAACAAACTTTATTAACATTTGCTTATTCTCCATCCTTGCTTATTCTCTATTTATTTCTATTTTATTAACCCTTTTATATAGAAACTGTCAAAATGAAAACATTTAACCTCGGCGATGATCGCGAAAAATGTGAAGTAGTTTTGTTAATAACCATCTTAGGTTGCTTCTTCTTGGCGCTTACTTCTTGGGCGCTTACTCATTACAAGCTTCATTCTATCTTTATTGTTTACTACAAACCAAAAGAAGATGAAATGCGACCAAAGAGAACTCAGCCCTAAAATACATGAAAATAAAAATGTTTAACCTCGGTGATGACAGCCGATTTATTAATGTTCTTAAAGTACGTCAAAATCGAAACATCTCAATCTCGATATTGAGAGCTGATCGCGAAAACTGCGAGTCGAAATAGTTTCATTAACCCTCTTAAAATACGAACTGTCAAAATCAAAACGTCTTGGCGATGACAGCCGAGAACTGCGCGAATCGAAATAGGCGACGACTTACATCGAGATCAAGATTTCGAGACAGCTAATCAGCGTTGCGGAAAAGAGGCTTCAACGCTCCGATACACTCGAGATAGGACTGAGCAGAGGTCTCGCATCGTGCACGTGTGCCGTTTGCTGTTCAGATTTTTAACCGTACAAGAAATCCGAAGTCATAAATTTTATACATATTCCGCGTGAAATTACGACTCATAAGGCATTTGGGGCAAAAGTGAGCGTAGTTTTATTAAGTAATGCAAACTCAAGGAATCGATGGAACTTATATAAAACCTCGTCAGTTCAGGTTATGGTCAAAGGTGGAAAAATCTTGCATGCGTTGAACTCACATTGTAAGTATACATGTCAGGCCTCGGCCCGTGCGTCCTCGCTTTGCGCGTGCACTTGGCCGCAACGTATCGTGTCTCTTAATAATCTTACATATTTCTAAAAAATTAAAAAATTCGACTTAAATTTTAATCAGATTTAATCAGAAACATCACCGATTCGCTTTAAGAGAATACATCATCCGTAGAATATTGAAATAGTTCGAGTATCGACAAAATTATCCGCACGTTGTTTCAGCTATAAACGCATCGAAAGGGAATCTTTACGTAACGGAGAAAATACGTGGATAAATTTAAAAGGGTAAAAACGCTCTCTCGAATCGCGAGCGAGTACTCGTAACATTTAACGTGCATATTGCTCTTTTTCTCATTCGCTGTAACGCTGACTTGCGTTAATTTTCGATTTAACTTTCCTCACCGGCGATTATTATTATCGCTCATCGTGCGAAACATTATCCACATGTAGCGAAAAACGCAATCGACCGTGGTAACGTAGGCGATACGACGTCGCTGTTTCGCTGAAATTAAATATCATTTAACGGCGGAAGTCCGGATCTTGGGTAGGAAGCGCGGCTGTGGTGTAACACTGCCTAGCGTAATGGTTCATTTAGCGCAGAGCGCTCGACTCCATCCGGTTAGGGAGAGGCAAAAATATTGTCCGTCGATAGCGGGAGGAAGCGTATCGTCGGACATCGTGGACTAGATGAACGCATTCGTACGTCGATATTGTGCCTTCAGTGTTTGCCGATATCTAGATAAAATTATCTAAATAATCATCTTAGATAAGAAAACGTGTTATCTCATCTAAATGATCTGAAATGATGGTCTATATTCTGAACTCACTTTTCGATCAAATGAATGAAATAATATGAACCTATGCGTTAAGCCCCTATCAAACTGTGAGCGAGCAGTCAATGATTATTGGTATTTTTTATTAGATCCTTAAATTTAGGGCGATTACGTTGACGAATTATTTAACCGTTGTGCAATTTTATGATGCAATTTTTATTATAAATTCTTATAAAGTCCCTCGTGAAAACAATATTATCTAAAAAATCATCTAGATAAGTTACGCTACTTATTTTACCTTTCATAAATCAAAAGCAGTCATCTTCATCTCATCTAAAATTAAGTTTTCGTATTTTCATCTCATCTTCATCTAGATGCATCTGAAATCATCTACGGCAAACACGGTGTGCCTTTGTATCCACTAATAACGTGTCGGATAATAGAGGCGCTACGAGAAACACGAGAACGTGTGGGTTATCTTGTCGAAACATCGATAGCGCATCATCAATGATCACAGGTGTGCCTATTATTATCACTTTCATACTCTTCTCCCTGTACAAAGTTGCTTCGCGCCTGGAAGAGTGACGTCGAATTATTACACTGGAAATTATCGGAACCGTGTGTCTTCGCGGAACGAATTGGGTATTTCGCGGGGCAATGGCCGGGACCCGACGCACAAATCGATAACTGCAACTAACGGCGCACTAACTCGGTACACCCGACAGCTGACATCGGCAAACTTTGTTACGTAAATCGATGATAGGCACCGTGCGATAGAAATCTGGCGAACGCGAAATTTTACAGGAAGACGCATCGTTTCGCTTAAACGCGCGTCGTTCGAGAAACACACCACCGTCGGTACTGCATCAGGTTAACCGTTATCGCAAGATCTTAGGAAAGAAAGAAAAAAATATTTCCACGCTGGGTCTGTCACGCAAACGAGCGAACGAGCTGACGAGGCTAAGAACGGTCTTCATAGTTCGGTCTTGTATTTAAGACCGTTTCATTTTCATTTCAAGTTCATCTTAAGACGCTGTATAGCCATTGAAAGACTCTTTCAATATCCGTCAATGAATTTGAGATGATCTTAAATATAAAATCGAATTTTATGAATATCACCGTCCTATGAATACATGCGAACAATGATAATTCATTAAACGAACTCCAGAGTGAAGTTCGATCATAATTGCGCGATTACTTTCGTCCGTGTAGGAAATAGAGGAAATAGGAAATTATGTATAGTCTCTTCAACAAGGAAGTGTGGGTGATAATCTGAAAAGAATAAAAGATTAAGTCAAATTATTTTTTTAAGCGAAACTGGAAGATCTTTAATACGCAATTACCTAATATTTGATCCAGTCGCTTCCATTATCAATTATTGCTTGGCACCATTTTTACTTATTTTCGACCAGATTTTCGGCGTATTCTGCAGATAAAGAACGCCGTAATGTTATTATTTTTATGCACAGCTGTTGAAAATTGAAGACAGTCCTTTAAGTTTCATCTTAAGGTATGACGTCTTAAGTCCTTCATCTTAAGTCCTTT